GTAAAGTATGATTCCAGGGAATCATTGATAATGTACCGACCATCTTATTTTTTTCATCTACTAGAGCTGAAAGTGAGATCTTCATAGTGACCGTTAGCAACACCTATGTTTAATCGGAGTCCAGATATGTATACAAGAAAACGGGTTCAATTTTTCCAAATATAAAACTATTTCTATACATTTTTGTTGTTTACATAATTGCTTGGCCCAAAACTCTGTAATAATTGTTGTTTTTATTTGTATTATGGAGGAAAACAGATTAATAAGGAATAATGCGAAATAGTCCTGGAATGAATAAAAGTCGTGGCACAGTTTGGGAAAAAGCATACTGTGTCTTAGTCCGAGTTTCCTCTGACCCTTGGCACCCCATTTTTGATATTTGTTTTTTTATGTTGGGGTGTAGGGTCAGAGTCTATTCCCTATCAAAAACTTGGAATTTGCCGACACCAGTTGGTGTCGGCATAGGGTACTCGCCAACTATCAGACCTAGCAAACTTAAATGACCTTACATTGACCCATAATTACATTAAATCGATAGGGAAATCATTTATGTTCTCAGAAATTACAAGCATAACACGATTTTGTCTTTAATCTGTGGTCAGACGAGACGTAACTACAGCGTTGCTGAACTTTGACCTCGTTCGCACCATTTTAATTGCTAGTCACATGACTAACTAAATCTCGCAGACGATATGCATAAACGTCATAGGTCAAATAGTCACGTGGTAACAACAAAAAATCGCGTTTTCCCATACCCCTTGTGGAAGACGGCAAATGTGTCACCTTCATTGATAACTAATTTTATTACATCATACTGTAGTTCTTTAATATTAAAATAGTATCCCTTTTCTCAAAGTATCTCATTGGCAAGTGCTTCCGTGTATTCGTCTTTACCTGCCATGTTGCAATATAGGTTTATGCACAAAACCTTCCATTCCAGTATTGCAGAAAGAAGACATAGACTCGAAAATATTGAATGAAAGTCACGCAATGTATACAAAAACAGGAAAAAAAAAACGTATTATTCAACATATTAATTGGGATAACAGCAGCCCGAAGCATTTCGCTGTCGCATCTTCCTGGAAAGAGGCTGACTGATCACGCAGAAACTACATGTCAACGCATTTTGTTGTTATCACGTGACTATTTGACCTATGACGTTTTTGCATATCGGCTGCGAGATTTAGTTAGTCAGGTGACTAGCAATTAAAATGGTGCGAACGAGGTCAAAATTCATCAACGCTCTAGCTACGTCTCGTCCGACAACGGATTAAATACAAAATCAGTGTTATGCTTGTAATATCTGAGAAGATAAATCATTTCCCTATCGATTTAATGTAATTATGGGTCAATGCAAGGTCATTTAAGTTTTCTAGGCCTTATAGTTGGCGAGTACCCTATACCGACACCAAATGGTGTCGGAAAAATTCCAAGTTTTTGATAGGGAATAGACTCTGACCCTACACCCCAACATAAAAAACCAGATATCAAAAATGGGATATCAAGGGTCAGAGGAAACTCGGACTAACTGTGTCGGCTCCGGTTAATCAGGTCATTAATAAGATTGTATACGAATTATAACATTGAACGGTAGATGCTTGATTTGATACATAATGAGCGACAAACAAATTTTCTAGATGCATTTTGTTTAAAAAGTATATCTACTGAGGGATCGACGTATCACAATATCTGAGAGGAAGGAAAAATGGCTCCCTCCGTATACTGACATAAGATCTAATCGATAAAATCACCCATATAATGTCGGCGGAATAATTTTAGTTTTTTTTTTAAGTTTTGTGGTGAGTATATTCAATTAAGGAACTTTATGATGATGCAGCAGTTGAAAAAAATCGCATGCCCATGTAAAAATACATTTTATATAACAAACATTGATGACATAATTCTAGGGTTGTATATTTTAGTAACCCTTATGTTTAATTTTGTATACTTTTTGACAGATTTGTAATATATTTAATTTTATATTTTATCTTGCAATACTTCAAATTTACATGCAGCTATATGGATGTAATCTGGAGCGATTTTTTCGTAGATTTTATGCTTGGGCGTTACTTGAAAGTGACACAAAATAGCAATTATGGTGATGAGATGCGTTTAAAAAATCCAGAATATATCATTGTTACGTTTACTTTGTTCTATGCATTTTTTTTTTTACATACGACGTTTGAAGAAACATTATAGAGGATCATAAGATGATAGTTCTAAAATAAAATGCTGATTTGGGAGGTGATTTTTTTTGTATTAAAAATATGCTCAGCAATGCCGTGTTCGCGACATACATATTTGCCGTGACCAGGATTCGAACCTGGGTTGTCGCGGCCACAACGCGAAGTACTAACCACTATACGATCACGGCTATCACCGCTGAACTGTTAATACTGCCTGATTATATCTATATGAGCAAATCATTCAACTTTATTTCCTACGGAATACATTTCGCGTTCTGTAATCTTTATGAGACTGAATTTAGTGTACGTCTCAATGAACATATCTAAAATATATACTATTTCTCGCTTTTGTTCTCAGCGTTTCCTCGACCTCGGTTAGAAGCAAATGTTAAGAGACGCTAGTGAGGGCAGTGGTGGTGCACTGGAAGACAGGAAAACTGCAGATTGCGGTGAGAATAATAGGAATGATAAGTAATCTTATACTAGGCTTAGTATTCCCACTATAGATCTAAGATTGATATCTTAATCAAGACAGTAGAGGACGTACCAATCAAGAGGATAAGGTAATGACTGGATAGCAGTGGATGGATATTAGACGGTTAACTAGATCGCAGAAAAATGTAAAATGTGCCTGAAATGCATGCCGTTTCCAATACATAATTCGGTCTACTGATCCTATATTTGACTCTTTTCGCAATCAAGAAAAATTCATTCTATATAATTCTTAAATTAAATCTCTTTGAAATAGCCGAGGAGGTCCGAATAAAATGTGATACCGTTTTCGCGGAGGTATTTATTAAAACGTCTATATGAATATGATCTATGTTTTCATCAATCAAAAATACATGACGTGATCCGAATATCCCGATATGTGACGTATTAAATATATATTATTTTGACCTGATGGAATTGGCATAATTTGTGTGTAGAATAATCAGTATCTTGAAAAATAATAAATACTTTTAAGCTGGAATGATTCACTGAATATTCGAATCAGTATATGTTTGGTCTAATATTCGAAATATAAAATAAGGATAAATCTAGACTGTGGAGATTACATCTTGTCCATAATGGAACCACATTAAAGCAGCTAAATCGCTTAACATGCAAACTCTCACTCACAATGTAATCTAAATAGTAAAAAATGACTAATGATCACTACACGCGACTTTGCATTATCTATGCGCTATTATTCAAGTGGACTTGTTGGACGCTAAATTGATAAGAAACAAGGACAAGGATTATTATACCAAGTACGGAAAGCGTTTACGTATCAATCAACCGGCCTGTCCTAATTCATCTAAATTAAATTGGCCCCATTTATTAATATTGTGTCGCAAGTCCTGCTGACATGTCTCTGAGATTTTTTTAGGTACCTAAGCACATCACCCAAGAGAAAATTAGCAAGAAAAAGAATTATTTCGATGCGCCCAGCATTTTGAACTGAAAATGAAATCCAGATTGACTGACAGTCTTTATCTGAAGTAATGAATGTACATTTTTGGTCATAATGCGTTTGAAGTTAAAAATGGAAAAGAAAAACCTATAGTCATTTTGATTAATCTGATTCTTAAATCGACAATAAAATGTACGCACAACCTCTTTGATTTTATTTACAGTTGACGCTAGGTAAATGTGACGGAGTTCGCGATGCCTTCAGTGCGGCTTAGCGTGTGTAGCAATATTAAAAAGCACCGCATAGTAAACGGGTGATTGATAAATTCATTAATATCGACAAATATTCGAAGTCTATCCGAACAGAATTAGCAAACATTTGAATGGGAATCGTTTGGTAGTCATTTCAGGTCCGTGTTCCCAATATATATATCGACCCCACACTCCGCGGAGCATTCCATTGATCTGTAGATTTGGATTGAGTTCAGAGAGACAGAGATGCTCAAGAACCTCATATTCTATACCGAATGCCACGTTGATTTCTTGGAAATTCAGATCTGCCAACGGAAAAAAAAACAACAAAACAATAAATTGCTCAGCGTAAGAGAAGTACTCGATTCTCCATGTAGCATGATGTCCCACACAGTTACAGTATCCTGACACCAGGCCGACCAGTCCTAACACTAACCTCTTAATGCTGAGCATCTAGCGAGGTAGCTGTTAGTACCATTTTTGTAAGTCTTTGGTATGACTCGACCGGGGAACCCACGACCTCCTGCATTCGAGGCGGACGCTCTGACCACTAGGTCACCTTAGTGGTTGCAACGGTTGATAAATGATGGTGTGGATTCAGACGCCTGGAAAGATCTATATTTGAAGCATTCATTAGAGATTTGTTCACAAAGATAGGGGCCATCCATAAATGACTTTATGCGATTTTGGCCGACTTTTGCCCCCGCCCCCTGGTCACACAAAAAGTCAGACCACCTCGAATATGACGTCACAATGCTCTCCCCCCACAGCTGTATTTCCTGTTTACAAATTAACATGTTTCAAATCACTTTATTGTCATTGTGATACATATGTATTTAGTGTAGTGCTGCACTCTGATATTGTAGGAGATCAAAAAATAAAAATAAAAAAAACACAAAGTGGAACCTCTACTTAAAGTTGCGCATTTTGATGTGATGTCACATTTCTTAAATACCCCCTCCACCTCTTCACACACTGTCACAAATGTGTGACCTTCTCTCACCAGGTGCGTGATGTCATTTATCATTATAGACTTGCATAAAGTTGTAAGAGATGAATAGATATTTGTGTGTCATATGATATAACATTGATTAGGGTAGTGAAATTATTTTAGTTATAAAACCTAAATCTCTTTCAGTTTTGCCATGTTCGCAACAAACAGCTATTTGCCATGACCAGGATTCGAACCTAGGTTGTTGCAACCACAACGCTATGTATTGACCACTATACGCTCACGGCTGTCACTTCTGAGTTGTAAATGTCAACAGATTATACTCGTATGAATAAAGGAATCTATTCTGTTTCTTAGAGTACAGCACGAATGCTTTATGTCGTTAGTACTTATATGCCGTAGAATGTCATTTTTATGCGACAGTTGTGACATTTTATTTAAAATATCCAGTACTTTTGATTTTACATGCGGTAGTTTTGCCACCAAATCTGGCAGTGTTGTTATTGTATGCGATAGTTTCCTCAATATAAATGGTGTTTTCTCAATTATATTCAGTGCATGTTTCGTTATATTGGGTGTTCAATTCCTATTCCTTGATATTCGGTGGTTATTTCTTATAGACGGTACTTACATCATTATATTCCCTCGATTAATCAGTATATACGGTGCTGATCTCCTTACATGATTTTACTGTGAGGATGATAGACAGAAATCATCGCCGAAACGACTGATAGTTACCGATATAGGATTATCACTGGCGACTTCAATGTACATCTACACCGTTGTTTTAAATTCTTCCATAATTTCCAAAATTGGTAATTTTGAGAGAGAGAGAGAGAGAGAGAGAGAGAGAGAGAGAGAGAGAGAGAGAGAGAGAGAGAGAGAGAGAGAGAGAGAGATTTTTTTTTTTAAGTAAACTTTCTAGGTAAAGTATGATCTCACTGGGTGTTCTAAGCAGACCTGCGATGATGAATTTGCACACAGCGTGTATCAGTTTTGGATGAAGTCGACCAGACAAAACCAGATGGGTTTGAGCGAGTCTTGATTGAGCACCTAATATATATACAAAATACAGATGCTATTAGTATGTATCAAATTGTTATCCGCTCTTGGTGCATTGATACGCACATAAAAATATTATTAGAACATTAGGATACATTTCTAGTATAGCTTCTATATTCTCTAAATCTGATTAAGTATTACCTTTGTAATAAAATAATTATAAAAACTATTAATAATCCCTATCTTTTAAATGAATGCAGCGATTCATAGAAGTATCTCTGCTCCCCCCCACTATCTCATGTATGAGGAAGATATTATGGGAAAGTGTAAGGACTGAGAGAACAAAATATGAAAGCTGAACTTGCACCAAGTAACCTACAAGAACCTTGGGCTTCGTAACAGTTAGGTGTAAATGTTCCAGGGGATCTTAATATCTTGTTCACAATGCAAATGATACAAAGTTACAATATCCTGTCAAGACTTTTTCGGTATATTTATATGTTAAGACGACTATACATAATGTAATCTGTTTAATGCTTGGTTTATTTTTATTTTTTTCTTGATGTTGTAAAAAAAACCTAATAATATTATGGTGAAACATCTGTATTTTTGCTGTGACGATACACATATCGATATAGGTGATGCCAAATTGATACAAAACGATACTTACCGAATGCAAATTATTTTAGTCTTCAAAACTAGTGAATATTACGTTCTCTTGTTATTCTTTAAAATCAGAATTCATCTGAAACATCATTTGCAGTCCTTGGCACTCAAGTTCATTAGTAAAAAAGAAAAAGAGTTAATAATAATCGCTCTCCATCTGCAAATTAACACTTCGTGACATGGTTCGTAATCTGCTTCTTCCCTCCCCCCTGCTAATTATCTTAACCAAGCAGTATGAATACATTCCATACGTGTTCACATGTATAATAACGTATTTTACTGATCATTTGATAACCGCTTTTACTCAAGTTTCTATATTAACTTGTATACTTTGTTCGATTTGAAAACTACACTACTGTCACTTCATACGGTGAAATAAGTTACAGTGAAGTCTCGTTGGACGTTATTGCTTGTTCCCGTCCAGGTTAAACAATAACCACCAATCAGAAATTAATGTAGCTTATTATCTGCGTGACAAACAGAAAGTATTTGCAAATCATGTGAGAAACTTCGCGGAAAATTCTTTATTTAATATGTAAAGCAATTAAACATAGATGCTGCCAGGGTGTGCGATTCCGTGAATCGTTTAAAATTTTTACGAATTCGCGAATTAGTTGAAAGTCCCAAATACGAAAATGTCTTCAGAGATGTATACCATATTTATTTATCCGTTCTTGTCGCGACATTTGTTTTTCGGGTAGTCAACTGTTTACACATTTGGTTTCTTCAAGCATGACATGACTGGTTGCTTAAACTAAATTTAATTGGCATATTGTGCCCTTGAAAAAGTATTGAATCTTCTAAAAAAGAAATTTTACAAATGCTTTGAAAATACGGGCTACCTTAAAAACCCAAATTGTCTGATTCCCGATGTGGTTCATTACGATCTTGTGTCTGATGATAGTGAAGTTTGATGAAGTTTTCTTTGTTCTTTGTTAATAAGTATATCGGATTATAGGAGCTAGAAAAGCGTTAATGGAGTTACCTGTCAATGATCTTGAGCCCGAAAATGGTGTTAAATACGAGTCAGATGTACATGTGGGATGGACAACAATAGACATGACAGTCATTATCCAATATCCAGTTTTTTGCTTAATCAATAAATTTTAGATATGTAGATCATATGCTATAAAACTATATATATATATCCATATCATGGTTAAGATACAATAAATAAATATGGTTTCAAAAATAAGATCAAGAAGTAAAGATATCTATTTGAATACTTGTGTCTGCACAAGCAGACTGTGACATTGATGTACTATACAGGATTATGAAACAGATAAGAAAACTGGCAACAAGTCTGAAAATTAGTGATTCAACAAAGTCAGTTTATGATAGTCACAAAGTCCTATTTTCGAGCAAATTATCCAAATAATAATAATAATAGCTGTGAGCTCTGGAAAATTGTACGAAACAACCATAAAGATTAGTTTCCCAACATTTTCATGCTAACAGACTTGTTTTGTATATGCCTCTTTGAAGAATGGACAGAACAATATTCATGCCTAAGTAAGGAACAGAGTATGCTCAGAAATAATGAACACATATTGCTTATTTTATATCCTGAAAAAACGTAGCGTATCTACGTCTCCCAATTTGAATGTCCGTCTTGAGTTAATTATTGCAAAGAGGCTATCGCTTTTGTTCAACTCTTAACATGGATTATGGCCAATTTTGGTAAATCTTTTTTTTTTTTGTGTTCCACTCGTGACGTGGATTACCACTCGTAACATAGAGTAATATTTGAAAAGAAAACGAGACTTTATTCGTTCGGCTGATTAATTTCGTTACAGTTCAAAAGAAAGCGAGTAAATAGTTTATTGTAATGAATTCTGAAGCAAACTATTTAGGATTTCAATTGTGAAACGCGGCTTCTAAAGTAAGTTGGATTTAAATCGTTTATTGTTATGAATTCTGAACCAGACTATTTAGGATTACATTTGTTAAAAGAGGATTACATTCGTGAAAAGCGGCTTCTAAAATAAGTCGGTTATTATGTCATCCAAGCCATGAAATTAAACCAAGCTATTCAATTTGTAACTAATCTCAATTTTTAAGAAACAATATAGCCCTACATACTTGTTAATTTCTCTACACAAAATTTAATATCCTAATACTTTTACGATACTACATATTTTAAAGACTTTAATTTCAGTAGAGCTGTAAGAAAGTGGAGCATGAAGAATATATACAGATATTGAGGTGTTAGGTAAATATTTAATTATGGCAGTTTCTTGTTCCCCCTCCTTTTTCACTTTCCCTTATTTCTTTTACAATGGAGTATGTATCCCCTTAGATTAAATCCTTTATTAAATCCTTTGATTCCAAACTACTCAAGTTTATCACCTTGTGTAAGTTAAAATAAAAGTTATACAACATGACTGGGTGTAGTCAGTAGTTTTTCTTATTCACTATCAAACACATTTACCTGTAGCCGCTGAAGTTGTTTTATTTTTTTTGGGGGGAGGGGAGGTTGCATCTGCGTGAAGTACATGGTTTTTATTGGCATTCATCCTCATTGACAAGTCCGGATTGGTTCTTTGCTTGAAAAAGTTGCATTATTTCTTCTGTTTTGAAGATAACATCGTAAGGTCTTCAAAGCGTGACGTGAAATTGATAATAAGATGTTTTAAAAGCATTCATGCAAAACAAAGTGCCTGGTGGCAAGAGTTAAATGGAGCCACCATTAACTGTTGAATGAAAGTCACATACATGTAGTCTCTTTGAGTGTATTTTTCTTACCTTCTCATCGACGAGAATAGTATATCAATATATGATAACAATGTGCATATCTGTAATCTGCATACTGGAAATACAACAAGTATGTCACATACATAAAAGGAACACCACTACCTTCCAAAGATGGAAATAACATAAACTTTATACGTGTAACGATACGTATCGTATCGCAAGCCGATTCGTGAATCGTGTCGATATCTACACTTGGTCAATACAAAACTGCATGTAGTCCATCTTAACTCCGTTCAAAATCATGTATGTGTATTTGTGATAGAAATACAATACATGTATAGTAAGTACGCTGTATCTTTGATACACCACTCTTTGTAAATTTTTCATTAAAAGGAAACTCGGCAAGTCTTGTTTTATTTTAATGAAATATATAGACATCTTTTAGTATATCAATGGTACAGCGTACTGAAGTAATAAAGATTTGTCTATGTGACACGATGATATTTACTTTTTTGGTATCTTCTTCAATGCACAAACTAGCCCAAGTGATCATTGTAACAGCCTATTTCAAAATGTTTGTTTTTATATTTTTTTCTTTAGGGAGATGGGGTTAGTTGACAATAAGAGTAGAAAGACACGTTGAGCAAAAATTTGGAGGCTTGACATTATATTAGCGTGAAAGCCAATTGAATTTAATTAACTTTTTATATGTAAACGATTTAGTTATTGCAAGCGGTTAATGGATTAATATCGGTGATGTTTGTAATAAGTCTGAATGTATGTCAACATTCTAGTTTCCAGGCATGCTCAGAGCGAATAAGTTTTCAGTCCAGCAATTTCATGAACACACACACACACTTGCTATTCGGAGGTTAGTTGTTTATGTTCGATACTTACATCTTTATGTTCTTTGGTTTAAATCAGT